ATAGCCGCGGTACTATCGCAGTGGATCAACACAGCTGGTATAGGTTTTTCCCATAAAGGAATCTCAGCTAGCAAGCATCTTAACCAACTTGCTTCTTCACTAGCTGTAGCTAATGCTATCATCTCAGACTCCATTGTGGACTGTGCCAGAATGGTCTGTTTCTTTGATTTCCAAGATACAGCTCCTCCGGCTATACTAAATATATAACCACTAGTAGCTTTGGAATCATCCGATAAGGTGTTCCAATCTGCATCACTATACCCTTCTAGTACAGCAGGAAATTTCTGATAGTGTAGGCCGAGGTCCATAGTCCTTTTAAGGTACCTCATTACTCGCTCAATAGCTTGCCAATGTTCATTACTCGGCCTACTTGTAAATCTGCACAACAGTCCTACGACATATGCAATGTCGGGTCTAGTACAATCAGTGGCATACCTAAGACTGCCAATGATGCTCGCATATTCTGCTTGTTTGACACTCTCTCCAGTGTTCTTAAATAGTTTCACACTTGGATCATACGGAGTGCATGCAGGTTTGCAATCAAAGTATTTATATTTCTTTAAGATCTTCTCCACATAGTGAGATTGATCCAAAGAAATTCCTTGTTCGGATCTCGTGATCTTGATACCCAGGATCACGCTTGCTTCTCCGAGGTCTTTCATATCAAAGTTATTGCATAACAATGATTTCATATCATTAATGGCCTGAATGTTTGATCCAAATATAAGTAGATCGTCTACATATAGACATATGATAGTACAAATGCGATTCTCAGATTTGTAATAGACGCACTTGTCACTTTCATTCACTTTGTACCCATTAATTATCATTAGGTTATCAAACTTTTCATGCCATTGTTTAGGGGCTTGTTTTAGTCCATACAAAGACTTATCTAACTTACAGACCTTGCTTTCTTGTCCTTGGATTACAAATCCTTCTGGTTGTTCCATATAGATTTCTTCTTCTAAGTCACCGTTTAAAAAAGCTGTTTTAACATCCATTTGGTGTACTATTAAGTTATAAATGGCTGCTATTGAAATGAGTACCCTAATGGATGTAATTCTAGTGACTGGAGAAAAGGTGTCGAAGAAATCTATATTTTCTCTTTGTTTAAAACCCTTGGCTACAAGGCGTGCCTTGTATTTCTCAATCGTTCCATCAGGTTTTAGTTTCTTTTTGAAAACCCATTTACAACCAATTGGTTTGCAACCCGGAGGTAAGTTTACTAAGTGCCAGGTCTTGTTAGATTCTAGAGAATCTATCTCATCATTAATGGCTTCTTGCCATAAGTCTGCATCCATAGATGACAATGCTTCTTGAAGATTTATTGGATCTTCTTCTACATTATAGGCCGCATAATCGGGCCCATAGTCTTTAGCAACTCTTGCTCTTTTACTTCTTCGAAGCTCTGTTTCTACATTGTCGCTGCTTTCAGTGCTTTTTATCACAGGAATGTGACTCGATTGTGTGCCCCCACTATTTCTTGATTTGAAGGGAAATTTGTCTTCAAAGAATTCAACATCGTTTGATTCTATGATTACTCTGGCATTTAGGTCATAAAACCTGTATGCCTTACTGTTTGGTGCATACCCAATGAATACGCATTCATAGGCTCTACTAGCGAGTTTAACTCGTTTCGGATCCAGAATTCTGACATAAGCCAGGCAGCCCCAAGTTCTCAAATAAGACAAATTTGGTTGTCTTTTCTTTAATATCTCATACGGTGAGATCTTACTTTTTGACTTGGGAACTTTATTCAGGACATAGCAAACAGTCAATAAAATTTCCCCCCACCAATGAGGTGCAGCACCATAATTTAACATGATTGCAACTACAAGTTCAGTAAGAGTCCTATTCTTTCTTTCTGCTTTACCATTCATTTCAGGAGAGTATGGAGCAGTCGTTTCATGTATAATATCATGTTCAACATAAAAATCATTAAACAAGCTAGAGTCATATTCGGTTCCCCTATCACTGCGAAGTCTCTTAATCTTCTTGTTAAATTGATTCTCAGTTTCAGTTACATACACCTTAAACATGTCAAGCGCTTCACTTTTATTCTTCATTAGATATACATAAGTATAATCAGAGCAATCGTCAATAAAAGTGATAAAATAACGTTTATTATCTCTAGATTGAAAATAACAGTCAATAAAATAACTTTTATTCTTCATTAGATATACATAAGACTTATTCTTTCTAAACTTGTTTCCGAGCCTCCTCTTCAATTCGGAGGCGAGTAATCAGACTCCCGATTGAAAATTCTTTTGTTTTGTGACAAAGCACATTTTTGAAATCTTTCCAACCAGGGGGCAGTTTGTCAATAATTACAGCAATTTGAAATTGTTCATTAAGGGGCATACCTTCTGTAATAATCTCATGAGCAATCTTCTGAATTTCGTGGCTTTGAGTTTCCACCGACTTCTCATCCACCATCTTGTAGTTCAAGTAGCGGCTGACAGCAAATTTCTTCGCACCTGCTTCTTCAGTATCATATTTCCTTTTCAGAGCCTCCCATACCTGTTTAGCAGTTCTGTAGCTACTGTAGTAGTTGTACAGATCATCAGCAAGGCTGTTCAGAATGTGATTTTTGCACAGATAATCATTCTCGTGCCATAAGGCGATTTCTTTTCGGAGCTGCAGATCATCTGCTGCAGCCTTAGCTTTTGCAGCATCTGAGTCAGACATTTTGGAAGTCCCGTCTGAATCTGCAAGTGAGTTACCGTTAGGTAGTTCAGATGATGCAGAAGGGACAACCGGGATATCCTCAGTCAGAACGTGGGCAACCTTTTTCAGAGTTAAGAAAAATTTCATCTTAGCTTGCCAACGTTTGAAATTGGAACCCTCAAACCTGAAAGGTTTGTCAGAGACCAAAGCGGACGCAGTAGTACCGATAATTTCCTCAGTTGCCATGGCAGTTATGAAAACGTCTTAAATTGTTGTTCTTCGGATCTGAAAATTAAAGTTTAGCACAAGGAAATTATCGGGACGAGTCGCGTACTAGGTCGCTTTCTTTAAGACGTTTCGCCGTACTGCCAAATTATGCGAAGCAGTCGAATTTACGACGACGCCTCCAGGATAAAACAGTCCGTTCAAACAACTTACGATTATCAGTTGCACACTGATGAATCGCTCTAGAAATACACCTGTCTAAGTATCTGGTCAAAATAACCAGTCAAGAAAAGAGGGTTTTTGAGATGAAGAGAAATGAGAAAGAGGGAAATCAAAATTCGTGTGAATTTGTGAAATCCGATGTACCCACTTCTGAATTTCTACCCTGTATTTATAGGCAGCAAACTGCACCTGAGTGGAGAAATTTCTTCGCACCTGCTTCTTCAGTATCATATTTCCTTTTCAGAGCCTCCCATACCTGTTTAGCAGTTCTGTAGCTACTGTAGTAGTTGTACAGATCATCAGCAAGGCTGTTCAGAATGTGATTTTTGCACAGATAATCATTCTCGTGCCATAAGGCGATTTCTTTTCGGAGCTGCAGATCATCTGCTGCAGCCTTAGCTTTTGCAGCATCTGAGTCAGACATTTTGGAAGTCCCGTCTGAATCTGCAAGTGAGTTACCGTTAGGTAGTTCAGATGATGCAGAAGGGACAACCGGGATATCCTCAGTCAGAACGTGGGCAACCTTTTTCAGAGTTAAGAAAAATTTCATCTTAGCTTGCCAACGTTTGAAATTGGAACCCTCAAACCTGAAAGGTTTGTCAGAGACCAAAGCGGACGCAGTAGTACCGATAATTTCCTCAGTTGCCATGGCAGTTATGAAAACGTCTTAAATTGTTGTTCTTCGGATCTGAAAATTAAAGTTTAGCACAAGGAAATTATCGGGACGAGTCGCGTACTAGGTCGCTTTCTTTAAGACGTTTCGCCGTACTGCCAAATTATGCGAAGCAGTCGAATTTACGACGACGCCTCCAGGATAAAACAGCCCGTTCAAACAACTTACGATTATCAGTTGCACACTGATGAATCGCTCTAGAAATACACCTGTCTAAGTATCTGGTCAAAATAACCAGTCAAGAAAAGAGGGTTTTTGAGATGAAGAGAAATGAGAAAGAGGGAAATCAAAATTCGTGTGAATTTGTGAAATCCGATGTACCCACTTCTGAATTTCTACCCTGTATTTATAGGCAGCAAACTGCACCTGAGTGGGGAGAAATTCGTGGGGAGTGGAGAAAATGGTGGGAGACTGAGAAATTCGTGGGGAGTGGAGAAAATGGTGGGAGACTGAGAAATTCGTGGAGGACTGACTGACCAATTATTTTCTTAATTAATTAATATTTATTATTAATTAATTTTCCACCGAATTATATTAATTAATTAATGATAATTAAATTATATAAATTCGGGTCCAAAAAATAATTCATCTAGACCGGACCGGACCGAGCCGAGCCGGACGGACTCGGGTCCAAAAAATAATTCATCTAGACCGGACCGGACCGAGCCGGACGGACGGCGGCGCGCGTGTCATGTTGGTCATGGGTGTGTCCTCACTCCTTTCACAAAATTGGGTGCCCTTTAGGGCCCAACCCAATAGACAAAGTTGGAATATATAAACACTACTAATATTTCCATTCCCTTCAATGTGAGACTAAAATGAATCTTTTCAAATTCACTTCTATATTAGTTCTCACTTGTGTTCATTTATTGCTCATTAATTGTTAACAAATGTTTCCAATTCCCACTATAATTAATTAAAGTTCCACCATTAATTAATTAAAGTTCCAACATTTGCCCAAAATAAAACACCATATACAGAGACTATAGTATTAATATGTTTTGAATTATAAATACAAATAGGAGATAACTACACTGATACTTATCTGGGATTCAGAACACGATGTTCCACGAATTAAGTTCCTCGGAAAAGTTCAGTATTCACCAAAGCTACAAGTATGAATAAACACAATAACAAATAACACATGACATTGCCAGCAACGCCATGTATCAAGTCTCATGTACAGAAGAAATTTGCGATGAACTATAGTTATTCACACGTTTGGGTCTTTCCCGAACCTCATAAGCACATGAGTTGCCAGCATTGATCCCCTGCGAGTCATTTCTGCAACTCGGCCAAGCAACGGCAGCTTTACAGTATCTCGATTTGAAATTGGTTTTTTGTCCCACCTATTTAGTGTAAAATACAAAATGTAGTTACTTGTGAAGAATTATCATTGCTTACTTTTATTTTGTTTAAAGAATTGATGAAATATTTACTTTTTTCACCCATAGACTAAATATTTACTATTGTTCACAATTCATAGAGGAATAAGAAAATACATTCACTTTAACTTTTAGTGCCCACCACCTAAAATGATGTATAATTCATAGATCATGGGAATAATTCTTATTAGATTTAAAAGATTCTATTTCATGTCTTTCTGACTGTTCCATTACATTTGCTAGAAAAGAACAGCAGATTCAGGAGATTAATACATACCAGTCCTCATGGCGGACAACTTTACCCTCATCGACAGACAACTTGATTAGCGATACCAAATCTATATCCTTCCCCAAAAATTTGTAGTGTTGCTTATTGTCAATTAGTATCTGCATAACACCGATGAATTAGGATTGTCCACTTTGAGATCATGCAAGTACTTGAACTTTGAGTAAAACAAAAGACAGAGGAGTTACACACTGCATTAAATGACAGCAGATTTACTAACCTCTCCTTTTCCTGGTGAAACCATATTTTCTTCAACACTGTATTCCACAATCTTTGACTCACTAAACACCTATGATATAGGGAGATAAAAGGAAGTTGGGAATATGCTAAACATTTGAAAGAAAAAGATGATACCAGATACAAGATGATTTTATATAATAATGAATAAGTCATTATAGAAATGACTAATATGCTAAACCTTTGGAAGAGAATAGAATGCGGATTTGATCTGCTTGACCCTGCAGTTTCATTATTTTAAATTTTGTAAGTCAATTTATCAGTCTACTTTAGCAATTTTCATTGCTTCCTAGAATAGGTGAACTCGGAAATTAAAAAAACCAGGAAGCTAGACAGTTAATCCATAAATAAAATAGAATTTGAATAATCTCAGTAGTAGCAACCATGTTTGAAAGAGTAGTACAGAATAACACTTATCACATACTAAAATCTCAACGACAAAGCCAATTTAAAAACTAATTATATTTGTTAATTCACCTTCCATTCCAATTGATACACCCGAAACAACAAGCTTAACCGTTCCAATTGTTTAATATCACACCAAATGTATAACATGATGCAACAATATTCATGACATTTAGCATTCCAATTTCAGGAAAATCAAATAGACAATAACGAAATGCATACCCGTGTGCACGCATAAGGGGATCCTCAAAGGAAGCATCGGGAGCATAGATTTCAAAATCACGAGCTGTGGCCTTTGATCCATATCTGAAGTACCACACCAACGTCCACATAATAAGAATACAACAGTAGTTGAAAAGAAAGGCTATAACTATTTTAAGTAATAAGAACTACACAAGAGTCTCCAGAATGATCTGGTTACGAATAGTATACTAATTGTGATAACTATTTTAGAGTGAGAGGAAGAGCAGTTACAAATGGAGAATATGAGGAATTATGCCTTGAGCGTAAGATTGTTTGGCACGGGAATCAAATGTTTCTTTGTACCTGATCTCTTTACCTTCAAATGAAATCGAAGAAAACAGAAATGATAAGAATCATCAATCATAATGAAGATTATAAGAATGAAATTAGCAAGAGGAAAGCGTTACCAGCATCCATTGCGAATTTTCTGGAAATGTAAAGAGGGAGGAAGTGATGTGGTGTGTGTCTAAAGCGTGTGATGTTCATTTTTTATATTAACTAATTTAATTATATATGAAGGTTAATTAATTTAAGAAGAAGAATGTGTTGGTGGTGGCTTGGGCCTCAACGTGGCCATGCCTACGTCTTTCTCATTAGTCATCAATTCAACTTTCAAATATATCGGCACGAATCAGCTTCGTTGCTTACTTGTCCCTCCCATGCAAAGAAAATTCACCGAATGATTTCGCTCGGATCATGGAAATAGATTGGATCATCCCAAAAGGGTTTAAGACAAATATTGTATGCACAAAGCAATGTATTTTATAAAAATAAAATAAATTGATGTTTAATAATTTATAAATTAGTTTTTAAAAGTTTATTATCAAATTTATATCGTCACACATTCAACTGTTTAATATTAGGTTATTACATATTCACCGTCTTTGATTTTTGTGTCTTTTATGAGTTAATAAACTCAAAGCATTCTTGGGTTTGAAAAAAGAAAGAATGTCACAATGAATTTTTCTTAGATTGATTAATGGCATAAACATGTCTTGTATACATGGTGATGGTGGTTACAGTTTTACATTAAAAACAAATACTTTTTTAAAGCAATAAATTGTATCGGTAATTAACTAAACATAATGCAACTAACTTCTTTATATTAACTAACTTATGCATTTGACAATAGTCCATGATAAGTTGAACTTTGATAAATTGTTACGGTAACTAACTAAATATAATGTAACTAAGTTTTCTATATTAATATTTTTTTACTATGGGATATCTATGGAAGTACCCAGACTTCACAGTGTTTGATTTGTTTCGAAACTATATATACGGAATTACCCTAGCGTTAATTTATTCTGTAGATGGAGTTCCAGAACTTTCTGTAACTCCAACAACCAAGATAATGGAGTCCTCTACTCATGAAAATTGATTTTTTTTAAAGTCTTGATCGTCCGTTTCAGCCAACAAACAATACCTATATTGTCTCTAAACTATGTTTCTAAAACTATCTAACGATTTCTACCCCTAAAACTATATTCCAACTCGTTTATAGAAAATACTCGAAAATACCTTGAAAACTCGAAAACTTACTGATTATATCAAGCTTTGAATGATTTGGAGTGTCTTGATCGTTGAGATGAATGCTCCTTGTCGAACTTGATTGAAAAAAATTAAGTTTGGTGAAAAAAGATTTTTTGAGGATTGAGAGAGTTTGGAGAGTTTGAGAGTGAAGAAGATAAAAATTGAAGAATGAGGGACGAGAAAGGACTCTCGCGCGAATGTATTCTGATATGTTCTGGAGCTATATAAACAGAAACATTTCGTAGATGTAGCTCCGAAAAAAACCAACGATGAGTTAAAAAAAAGGTGCGTTCGGAGATACATTTTCGGAAGCGGGGGTATTTTTAGAAGCGCACATGGTGCCTAAGAACCCCAAAGAGTGAGATAAGAAATTCTCTAATAAGAATGTGTTGGTGGTGGCTTGGGCCTCAACGTGTCGATGCCTGCGTCTCTCTCATTAGTCATCAATTCAACTATCAAATATATCAGCACGAATCACCTTTGTTGCTTATTTGTCGCTTCCATGCAACAAAAATTCACCGAATGATTTCGCTCGGATCGTGGACTCCAGATTTGACTCGTACTTGTAAGAGAATTTAGGTCGTGCCTTTTCATTGATCTGTTAGTCATTTATATACATAATATAATTATGTGGTTATGATTCTAATAATCATTTTTAATCAATACTAATAATAATCTTTCTATATTTACATATTTAATACACCCCCGTAGTCGAAACTGGAGGTGAACAAATGTTGAGACTATCACGAAAGTCATCAAAGAGTTGCAACAGAAGCCCCTTTGTGAAAATGTCAGCAATCTGAAAACGCGAGGGAATGTGAAGAACGCGTACTTGACCGCGAGCAACTTTCTCACACACGAAATGTATATCCATTTCAATATGTTTAGTGCGTTGATGTTGAACAGGATTGTCAGAAAGATAAACTGCGCTGATGTTGTCACAATATACCAGAGTAACTTTTGTGATAGGACAACATAGTTCCAAGAGTAAGTTGTGTAACCAACATGATTCAGGCACAACATTAGCTACACCTCTGTATTCGGCTTCGGCACTTGAACGAGACAAGGTATGTTGGCGTTTTGCGGACCATGAGATCAAGTTGTCGTCGAGATAAACACAGTAGCCGGAGGCAGATCTTCTTGTGTCTAGACAACTGGCCCAATCTGCGCCTGTGTAAGAAATGATCTTGTCGACGAATGAAGGGTACAGATGGAGGACGAAATCTATGGTACCATTAATGTATCGAATAATGCGTTTCAAGGCAGATATGTGTTAAGTTTTTAGATCATGCATAAATAAACACACCTGCTGAACTGCATATGAGATGTCTGGTCGAGTGAACGTCAAGTATTGCAATGCTCCGGCAAGGCTACGATATTCGGTTGGATCATGGTAAAGGTTACGAGATGTACCACTAAGTTTCGCCTTTGTGTCTACTGGTGTGGAGGATGGTTTGCAGGAGGACATACCGGCTCGTTCGATAATTTCTTCTGCATATTTCTTTTGAGAAATAAAAAGGCCTTCGGGATGTTGGGTGACACAAATACCCAGAAAATAACTTAGAGACCCCAGATCCTTCATGGAGAATTCAGAACTAAGTTGTTCCATAATAGACTCTCTAAGAGTGTCAAATGATGCAACAAGAATAATGTCATCCACATACAGCAGAATATAAGCTATGTCATTGCCATGATGATATATAAAAAGAGAGTGGTCCAAAATATTGTGAGAGAAACCCATTGTAGCTACATAATCAGTAAAGCGCTGGTACCAGGCGCGAGGTGCTTGTTTGAGACCATATAGATATTTCTTCAATAAACAAACATGATTAGGAAATTGAGAATTACGAAATCCAGGAGGTTGATGCATGTATATTGTTTCATGAAGATTCTCATGCAAGAAAGCATTTTTAACATCTAATTAATGGAGACACCATGATTTAGATGAAGCAACACTCAGAACCGTTTGAATGGTAGTCGGTTTGACCATCGGGCTGAATGTGTCACCACAATCAACATCTGTTTGTTGATTTGCACCATTACCTACAAGGCGAGCTTTGTATCTCTCAAAGGATCCGTCAAATTTCTTTTTATGTCTGAAAATCCATAAACTCCGAATAACATTAGCATTAGACGGACGAGGAACTAAGTCCCACGTCTCATTTTCAATAAGAGCATCATATTCGTCTTTCATGACCATTTTCTAATTTTGATCATTTAATAAATCAATGGGATTTATAGGTAGATGGGATATGAAGGTTGAGGTTAAGGTATGGAGATTGAAGAGTTTGTGAGGTTTGACAATACCGTGTTGGGCTCTGGTTGTCATTTTAGGGGAGAGAGACGGTTTTTATTGTGAAGGTGGAGGAGTCGGAACTGATGTAGTGGATGGGGATGAGACGATAGTTGGTAATGATGGGTTTATAGGTGATGTTGTGGATGAGGTTGATGTTATGGTTGGTGAGGTGTGATTTTGGGAGGGTGACGGAGGCGAATTAAAAGAAGATGGTGATGGTTGGTAAATGTTTGTTTGAACTGGTGTAGTTAGGGGTGGAGTATGATTTTGATGGTTAGAGGTGGAGCACTATAGGAATAGGATGGAAGGAAGGGTGTGTCGTCATCCAAAAAATTATAGCCAACCGTTGTAGGAACATTTAGATTAGAAAATGGAAGCTTAGTTTCATCAAAAATGACATGCCAGGAAATAAATATTTTACGGCTAGATAAATCATATCATTTATATCCTCTATGATTTCAGGGATATCCTAAGAAGACACAAGGTGTGGGCCGAGCTTTTAACTTATTCCTATATGATGAAGGGATGAGAGAATAGCAAAGACATCCAAAGACACAAAGGTGAATATAGGCTGGATTTTTTTGGTAGAGTATTTTAGTGGGTGATTGTAGGGAAAGCTTTTTATTTGGAAGGATATTATGTAGGTTAGTGGCCATGTGTAGTGCATGATGCCACATTGATGGAGGTAAAGAGGCATGGGCAATAAGGGTACGGATGATGTTGTTTATGGTACAAATTTTTCTTTCGGCTTTTCCATTTTGTGAGAAGGTGTGAGGACACGAAAATCTAAATGACATTCCATTATTTTTACAAAATTTATGAAACACAGAGTTATCATATTATTTACCATTGTCACATTGGAAACATTTAATTTTTCTTTCAAATTGTGTTTCAATGTGAGTTCTAAATTGAAGAAAAATGGAATGAACCTGAGATTTTATATGAATTGGAAAAGTCCATAAAAAATTTGTTTAAGTCAAGAAACAACACATAGTAACGACGACCTTCTGAACTAAGGATTGGTGAAGTCCAGAGGTCACTATGCATAATATCAAAAGGCATAAAAGTATGAGACACGGAGCTATAAAAAGGAAATTTTATTTGTTTTCCAAGAGGGCATGAATTACAAAAGTAATTGTTCCGAGACTTATTACATTGGAGAAAGTTGTCTCGGTGTAGAGAACTTAATATAGTAGCTCCTGGATATCCTAAACGGTTGTGCCATAACTCCGTGGATAACGCGGCAAAGGTGGATGGTGGCAAGGTTTTATTAGGTGGTCTTGTGGAAATAGGATAGAGGTCACCAGAACTGTTACATCTCATTAACAGTATTCCTGTATGAAAATCCTTAATAGAAAAATCAAAAGGATCAAATTGGACTGACACATTTTATCTATGGTAAATTTACAAACTGAGATATGATTTTTTTATGAGTTTTGGTGCATGTAAAACACTAGGTACTTTTAGAGGATGAAGGGAATTTGATAATGATGCATGTCCACAACTAATTATAGTAATATTTTGACCACTACCGACAGTAATAATATTACTCATATTGAATTAGGACGTGAGATTACTTCCGTTGGCCGTCATATGTGAGGTTGCTCTGGTGTCCATGTACCACTGATCATCAAGAGTAGAAAGTGAGAGATTATGC